CTGGCTGGTTTTTAGGAGTTTATTTTCGTTCTGAGTCGAATTGATGATTTATTTGTTCATTTTGTTGTGTTGATCCAGCTAAAAGTGACATGCATGAATAGAATTTGGATGAATTTTGGTTGAATTATACAATTGGTTTGAGTGGATTGCGGTTTAAACGATGCTGACACGCCTTGTGGTTTTATTGGCAGTTCAGTTTTGGAAGAGGAGGATCAGCGTGGAGTTGCGCATATTGTAGAGCATCTTGCATTTAGTGCTACAACCAGATATACAAATCATGATATTGTCAAATTCTTAGAGAGTATTGGAGCAGAGTTTGGACCCTGTCAAAACGCAATGACCACAGCCGATGAGACCATATATGAGTTGTTTGTCCCCGTTGATAAGCCTGAACTTCTATCTCAGGCTATTTCCATTTTAGCAGAGTTCAGCTCCGAGGTAACGTCTCTGTGACTGTTTAATTCCTTTTCTTGTTTCTTTCAATAAGAAATCTATTAACCGTTTGTTTAGATTCGAGTCTCGAAGGAAGATTTGGAAAAAGAAAGAGGGGCAGTTATGGAAGAGTACAGAGGGAACCGAAATGCTACGGGAAGGATGCAAGATGCACATTGGCAGCTGATGATGGAAGGCTCAAAGGTCCGTGAGATCTTTTGTTGATTCATTATTGCACTTTAAGACAGACTACAATGTGTTCTTAAAAGACTTTGATTTGAACGCAGTATGCTGAACGTTTACCGATTGGGTTGGAGAAAGTGATTCGGTCTGTTCCTGCTGCAACTGTGAAGCAGTTTTACCAGAAGTGGTATCATTTATGCAATATGGCAGTTGTGGCTGTTGGAGATTTTCCAGATACAAAGGTACTACTATGCTATTTTATGACTCTGATATTACTTTTGTTCCTTTGCTACTCAAGCATTTCTGATTATGTTTAATGGGCAAGTCCTTGTTGGTAATCCTTCCTGAATTCTTTCTAGACTGTAGTTGATTTGATAAAGACACACTTTGAAGATAAAAGATCGAGTAGGGAGCCTCCAGAGATACCAGTCTTTCCTGTTCCTTCTCATGAAGAGACACGATTTTCTTGCTTTGTTGAGTCAGAGGCAGCCGGGGTTAGTCAAATTTAACTCTCCAAACTTCTTCCATTATTATCCTGATGTCAGTTTCAACTCCTAAGCTTCTTTCGTTGTCTTGTCTTGTAGTCTGCAGTAATGATTAGCTATAAGATGCCCGTAAGTGATCTGAAGACGGTGAAAGATTATAGGGATATGCTTGGGGAATCAATGTTTCTACATGCTCTTAACCAGAGACTCTTCAAAATATCTCGTAAGAAGGACCCCCCATTTTTTGCGTGCTCCATTGCTGCTGATGTCCTGGTGAGCCCATTGAAGGCCTATATAATGAGTTCTTCTTGTAAAGAGAAAGGAACTCTGGCATCCCTTGAGTCTATGCTTCTCGAGGTCTCTTCTTCTTTCCCTCTCTCCAAGTCTTTGTCATTGTCTCCTCTCTCCCCTTGACTGGTTATCTTGTGTTTTAGGTTGCTAGGGTACGCCTTCATGGGTTCTCAGAGCGTGAAATATCTGTTGTGCGGGCTCTCATGATGTCAGAGATTGAATCTGCTTATCTGGAACGTGATCAAGTCCAATCAACTAGCTTGCGAGATGAGTATATACAGGTAAATGAACTTCAATCATGTCCTGCTTTTTGTCTTTCCCCTCTACAAAAATCTTGTTTTTATTTGCATTTCATCTTGCAGCATTTCCTTCACAAGGAACCTGTTATTGGAATTGAATACGAGGCACAACTTCAGAAAACTCTTCTACCCCGTGAGAACATGGATACTCTGCTTATAATGTAGTCTACTCCAATTTTGGTTATATAACTCTTATAAATTATATCGGTTCTTCTCTGATGCAGAAATATCAGCTTCAGATGTATCCAAATACTCTGAAAAGTTAAGAACATCATGCGGTTGTGTGATCAAGACAATGGAGCCTAGATCGGCTGCGACAGTTGATGATATGAGAGATGTTGTCTCAAAGGTTAATAGTCTTGAAGAAGAGGCAGAAATTGCTCCGTGGGATGAGGAAAAGATTCCAGAAGAAGTTGTCAATGAAAAGCCAACTCCAGGGTAAGCTATGAACTATATAGGTTGCTGACAAGGAATAATCAAAATCACCACAGTTACTTGCTTCTTCACTTTTGGATATTGGTCTATTGACTTTAGTTTTCAGAGATTGTCTACACCGTAAATATAGGCCCTAAAGTTACCTCTGTGCTATTATCTTATATCTTCGAGAAACTGATTAGTTAGGAAATTTACCTGAAGAATCTTGATAAGTTCTTATCGCTCAGTCTTTTACTGATCTCTTATCTTAATCGAAAAGTAGGCATAGCTCACTCACATGTGTATTTTTCATTTCTTATATCTCATCCTCAACTTATATTCAATGAAGGGATATTATTCAACAGCTTGAATATCCAGAAGTTGGGGTTACAGAGTTGACATTATCAAATGGAATGCAAGTTTGCTACAAGTCCACTGACTTCTTGGACGATCAGGTGCAATATTGAACGAGAGCTACAATAGTTTGGACTTCTACATGTGTGTATATATGTCTATGCATAGTTGGCAATGGATTAAGCTCTGAGCAATGCATTGTCCTTTGTTTGTTTTTACTCGCAGGTTCTTTTTACAGGGTTTTCATATGGAGGACTTTCTGAACTCCCTGAGAAGGATTACATTTCTTGTTCGATGGGATCAACGATTGCTGGTGAAATTGGTATGTTTGGTTATAAGCCATCAATGCTTATGGATATGCTGGCTGGTAAGAGAGTTGAAGTTAGTGCAAGACTGGGCCCGTATATGAGAACGTTTTCTTGTGATTGTTCCCCCACTGACCTTGAAACTGCTTTGCAGGTTAGCCATCTTCTTCCTGCAAATTAACATTCATTTTCTAAATACTAACATATTTAGCTAAAACATAGCAGTAGGCTTCATAGACCATAAACTCTCTGATTTGGAATTGTATTAGCTTTGTTAACATCTAAATGACAGAAATTGAACGTATTGACAAGTAAATCTGTGCGCATCCATAAACGATGTATCTTTCTTCTTTTCCGCGGATAACGTTTGACTCTCTTTGGATTAAACTGGTGGCATTATCCGTGCACATCCATAATCTGTTATATTTCTTTCCAGCTTGTTTATCAACTTTTTACTACAAACGTGATGCCACAAGAAGAAGAGGTTGGAATAGTGATGCAAATGGCAGAAGAAGCAGTACGTGCTCGAGAAAGAGACCCTTACACTGTCTTCGCCAACAGAGTGAAGGAACTCAATTATGGAAACTCCTATTTCTTTAGGGTATGATATCCTCTGTTATTTTGATGACTGATTATGTCTTGGTGAAAGCTCAGCTGTTTCTAACCCTAGTCTCTGATGTGTAGCCTATTCGGATCAGTGAACTCAGAAAAGTTGATCCGTTGAAAGCTTGCGAATATTTCAACAGTTGCTTTAGGGATCCATCAACTTTTACAGTTGTGATTGTAGGGAACCTTGATCCTGGTATCGCGCTTCCTCTAATTCTTCAGTATTTGGTAAGATGGATGACATCACTGCTGATACAAAAAAGTAAGCTTGGAACTGACTGGATTCTTGTGTTCCCTCCATGCAGGGTGGAATACCTAAGCCTCCTCAACCGGTTCTCAATTTCAACCGTGATGATCTCAAGGGATTACCATTCACTTTCCCTACGAAGATAACCAGGTAAGCTGCATATTGATGTTGTCCTTATCTAAGTTCAACAACGTAGTACATCTTTGTTTACCTACAATCATGCCACTGTATAGAACTAGATGGTTTTCCAAAATTTTGGTTAAAAGCTTGGCAAACGGTTGCAGTTAAATTAGAATCCAAATATAGATGTTAAATGCTGTACAATTCACATTCAGTATTCTGATAGAAATGTTAATCCATCGACCGAACAGAGAGATGATGATACTGTGTAATTACCTTGAAAATGCCATATTGACTTTGAATGCGTGAATATCACAGAGAATTTGTACGAAGTCCAATGGTGGAAGCCCAGTGTTCAGTCCAGTTATGCTTTCCTGTGCAATTAACAAACGGAACAATGGTAAATGACTCTGCTTTATCATCTGAACCATATTCCACATTGATGATCTTCTATTCTTGTCTTTACGAACAAGATGTCTAAACAAATTTGCTTTGTAGATCGAAGAAATCCACTGTATTGGCTTTTTAGGCAAACTTCTAGAGACCAAGATAATCCAGTTTCTCAGGTTCACGCATGGGCAGGTATACTCTGCTCTTCGTGTCAGTTTTTTGTGATGATCATCACACCAACCTTTAGTGACCTTTTTCTAATAAGCAGATATATTCTGCTGAGGTCTCGGTGTTTCTTGGCGGGAATAAACCTTCTAGAACTGCGGATTTGCGTGGTGACATCAGTGTAAATTTTTCCTGTGATCCAGAAATATCCTCTAAACTGGTACGTCGTTGTTCTCACACAATCCATAACGGTTTATCTTATACCTTAGGTTACCTTTTGGTCACTAAATCCATTTCGCTGTATCCTCGTTAGGTTGATCTCGCTTTGGAAGAAATTGTACGGCTTCAAGAGGAAGGCCCTTCGCAAGAAGACATTTCAGCCATCCTTGAAATCGAACAAAGAGCTCATGAAAATGGCCTGCAGGTATTTTTTTTGTCCTCTTATTTACAATTACAAATCCATCACAGCCACAAAAAAACCATATTTTGCTACAGAAACAAAACAGATTATTTTTCTCGTCTTGCTCAGGAAAACTATTACTGGTTAGATAGGATTCTACGTGGATATCAGTCGAGGGTTTACGCTGGCGATTTGGGCGCCTCTTGCAAGGTCAGTTAAAAGAAAAACCTTTTTTTTTAAAATAGTTTTGATCCTTCTTTATTAAACACAGTCACATGAAAAGGGAAGAAAAATTCTCTGTGGTTGTTAGATTTTAGAAGAAGGGCGTTTGCGAATGAGAGAGTCACTTGCACCACAAACAGCACAAGCGGCGTTACAGCGGATTCTTCCTCACCCTTGCAAGAAACAGTACACTGCCGTTATTCTCATGCCACAGAGATCACGTTTTGGATTCCTTTCCTCTATCTTTGTTTCGCGGCCCGAGACCGCCTACATCCGTGATACCAAGGTCAGTCTTTACTTTCTTGGTTGTTGTGTATGTGTCTTTAGATGTAACAAATCAACCCATTGATATATGAATTGTGTCTCTTTGGTTACCAGATTTTGGCAGGCATTGCTAGTTTAGCTGTTCTTGTTTTTAGCATCTGGAGATATTCTCGCAGGTAGAAGTTTGATCTCTCTTTTTGTTTGTTTTTTCTGTCTTTTTAACCCCAGAATTTCAGAGATTTTATTATATAGATCAGTGAACCTCAGCGTTTATTATTGTAAGTTCTCATTTTTTTTTTACAATAAGTTTAGAAACACGATTTATTTGTTTGCTACATATTTTTGTACCATAACTGCCATTATTGTTCTGGCCTATACATTAAGACAGGAATAAGCTAAAGTCTTTTCTTCAGCTAGCTCTTTCGCAGAGTCGTCCATTTTCTTCCTCGAAAACTCGTCTATACTGAGTCCTTGTACGATTTTCCAACTCCCTTTCTCACAGATAACTGGAAACGAGTAAACCAAACCGGGTGGTATACCGTAAGAACCATCAGAACAAACACCCATAGATACCCAGTGTCCTTTAGGTGTTCCAAGAAACCAATCATGAATGTGGTCACAAGCCGCACTAGCAGCAGATAAAGCACTAGACAGTTTCCGTGCTGTTAAAATGGCTGCACCACGTTGCTGAACTTCTGTGATAAACTCGTTCTTCAGCCAATTTTGATCAGATACAAGCTCTTTTACCGGTCTATCTCCAGTTTTTGTAGAGACCGTTGCGTAATTGGTGTCTGGATACTGAGTTGAAGAATGGTTTCCCCAAACGATCACGTTCTTCACGCTAGTGACAGGAACACTTAGTTTATCGGCAAGCAGAGCTTGAGCTCGATTATGGTCGAGACGTGTCAGGCAAGTGATGTTTTCTTCAGGGATTGATGGCGCAAACTCTTTCAAGATTAAAGCATTTGTATTTGCAGGATTTGCTACAACAAGAACCTTGCAGTCTTCTGTTGCATAATGCTCTAACGCCGAAGCTTGAGCTTTATATATCACTGCATTTTTCGACATCACATCTTTTCTTTCCATACCTTCTTTTCTTGCAAAACCGCCGATCAGTATCGCGATATTCACATCTCTACAAGCTTCAACAACATTTGTTGTTGCGACAACACCTTTGAGGAGAGGGAAGGCTGAATCCTGAAGCTCCATTTTCACAGCTTCTAGTGATTGTGAAGCTCGTTCTATATCAAGTAAATGCAGAATCATGGGTTGATCTGGACCTAGCATTATACCTCTTGCAATCATTGGAGCAATTGCATATCCTATGTTCCCTGTTCAATAATAATCCCCATAAAAACGAAATTACAAATTATAAAATCGAAAAACCATACTACAAATCGAATTTGTAAAAGACAAAAATATAGTATTTGGTTTACCTGCTGCACCAGTAACCAGAACCCTGATAGGGTCTTTCTCAATATTTAACAAATTGCACATGTATATTATCATTTTCCATGACAAAGTAACACAAAACAATAGAACCAAAGTTTTCTGAATCACAAAACTATAATCAATTTCTCCTCCAACTAACTCCATTTTTCCAAAAGTAAAATATAAAATCAATCAACGAATGTGTGTGTTCATGTGTTTCCAAAGTTTAATTTATAGAAGCTAACAAAAACCAACCAAGAAGACAAAATGAATCTATGGAAAACTTTTATGCGGACATAACCTGATACTTTACAAAAACTTCGTCTTACAAAAATCCAAGTCATTCGACAAATGACAAGGAATTTTTAATTGAAAGAAACTTCGCCGAATAAAAGATGCTCATTTCGGTTTGCATTTAGACTATTGGTAATTGGGTTTGGTTTTCGAATAAACCAATCAGTTGATAAAGATATTTCGGTTCGGTTTTTGTTTAGTTTCTCTGGTTAAATTTTAATTTCCTACTACACAGTTCGGGTATACTGAGCCTTTAATGGGCTAGAAAAAATCCAAAGTCGCAAGTAATCGGCCCATTAGAAACCCAAAAGTAATCGTCTAGGGTTACTGAGTGTCGCATATAAATGCATGCTTCTCCTCCGTCACCGCCTTTCTGTCCCTCGAAGATCTTCGAGCCGAAGGTACGACTG